CATGCAATCTGAAGAAAAATATCAGTGAAGTCCAGAACATCAATGTTTTGTAGGGGTACACTGATTTCTGTTCCTGGTGTTAGCAGTTGCTGTCTTAATAATCCAGTCTAATGCCAGTAAAAATGGGAAAGGTGACAAAAGACATCACTGTAGCACATCTGTTTTTATTTCAAATGTATATGTTAGCTTTCCTTTATGAAGAACTCGGCATTTCATGTCTTTATATGTTCATAGTTTAAGAATCCAATGTTAAGTGGTAAATTCAATTCAATGCTTTGCTCTATTATTATATGCAATGTCAGTACAGGATCTATTTAGCCCAAAACCTGCCTTCTCATCATTAGCTTTTTATCAGTAGCATCTTTTAGTCTTTCCAAGATAATCCTACTTAATATTTTTCCAGGAACTGACAGCAACATAATTGCGGTATAGTTTTCACACTCCTGTAGATCACCTTTCTGGAGGGGGGGGGGGGGGGGGGGCGATTTATAGCTTTCATAATTTCCTCTTTAGATAGTGCCTCACAGTTAATATCGTTCCATTTCTAAAGGCTGGATACCTCTGACACTGGTCTATTCAGAAGTATTTTAAAATATCAGCCTATCTGTCCATTTGATCTTCAGTGTTGGTGAGTACCTTTCCTTGATTATTTTTGATTGATCCAGTTGGCTGACTATATTTACTTATTAATGTATAAATAAAACATTTTTTTGAAGACATATTTTTGCCATTTTGTCACCCTCATCAGTGATGACACCTTGGGTTGTCCACACCACCTTCCTATAAACTGCATATGGTATAGATGGAACAAGCTAGTCAGCTGCTAAAATAGACTTCATATTGAACCATCAGAAGAGGGGAAATGTGATAAGAGATGGAGCAACATTCATCAGCAAAGAATTAAAGATGGCGAAAAGGACAAAGATTATTGACATGACATAAGAGCGCTGAATGACCCAGAAATTCATGCAAAATAAAAAATAAAAATAAAAAATGGCAGCAGACATAAGCGAGCAATGTACTAGTGATAATGTAGAAAGAAACAACATGGCATACATTTACATGTGCCTTTCTAAATGTTTAACAGAACCATGTGGTACTAGATACATAGGATGAACCGTGAGAAAGAGAACAACATTGTGGAACAATGAAGTCAAAGAAGCAGTGAAAGCAAAACAACAGTCCACACAAGCAATTAAAGAAGCAAAGGAAAATCTGTTGATAGCCCAGGAAGACTCACTCATGAAGAAGACAAGATCAGAGACAAGTAAAAGAATATTTTCAAGCTCTTTTGAACAAATAAACAACTCAGAGACAGTAACCATTTACTCCCAGATATGCAAACGAGAACAAACCTCAGGTCCTTGAACAAGAGGTCAGAGAAACTAGTTGATGCAGCCCAAAGAAAAAAGCTGCTGGCATCAATGGAGTAACTGCTAAATCGATAAAAGCCTCACCTCAGCTAAGCAAATAAAGGAAAGATCTGTTGCAGTTTCTTGTAATAAGTCTTTAGGTTGTATATGTTGTGTAACTGAGTTGAAACCATTCATGCAACTACTAACACAGTCTACTAACATCTTATCAGTCATGTTTTTGTGTGTGCCTAATTTTGTGTCTCAAGAAATCAGTCAAGTGTTTTCTGTATCATTCACCTTAACAAAGGGCCTTGTTAGGAGACTCGCTTTCAAATACAGCTGCGACTCGCTGCAGCCAACGACCAGAACTGGACGGTTCTCGGGGTAATGGCTTCAAGAGTTAACACTGGGGTAAATGGAGGAACGTTACTGTAGCTACGGAGTTTCGTGGGGACACAGGCAGACAGTTTCTAATCAGCTGTCCGTACTGGTGGCAGAGCACTTATGCTTTACAACAGTGTGCAGTTACGCTGGTTCACAACTACTGAATTTTGTATTTTCTATTTTACCTTAACAAGTGGTTAGGAAGTTAAAGGTAATCTTTTCCAGGATGTCTTACCAGCTTGTCATGGTCAAAGTTTAATTGCTAAGTTAACACCTTATGTGAAAAGCTCACTTAGACTGAGGCAGGGATGCTAGAACTGGTCTGAGTTAGATTTACTGTTTCCTCGACACCCCCAGAATAAATATATAGAGGATTAAATGACCTTTCAAGGCATGTATAGAAGTTCTCTTTTTAAGTATGTGTTTGTACATTTATATTAGTTCACAAATATTATATCTATGGAGACACCGGAGGACTGGAGAAATGCAATAATAGTACCCCTCTGGAAGAAGAAGAAAGGTTGCAAGAGATAATGGGAGAAGTATAGAGGAGTTTTGTTATTGAGCCACTCTGGGAAAATATTTTGTAAGATCCTTGAAAAAAAGGCTACGTCATATCATCGAACCACACTTAGTGAATGACACTTAGACAATTAGTGGAAAGGATGGTAGAATTTTATAAAAAATTGCACGTCTCATTCGTAGATCCAGAGAAAGCTTTTGATCGATTGATAGGAATAAATTATGGAAAGTACTAAAGAAATATGGAGTAAACGAACATCTGTTTAAATTATGCAAGAGTTTGTACGTGAACAGTCAATGCGCAGTTAGAACAAAAACAGAAATGTCAGAAAGGTTCTACATTAGATCTGGAGTGAGACAGGGGTGCGTTCTATCTGGATAGAAAAATTCTGGATAGCAAAATATGTAAGAGAAATGTATTCTTATCCTCATAGTCCATGCTGTGTGCTGCTCAGTCAGTCAGCCTATCCTTTACAGAATATCGCTCTGTTTACAGCATGTGCGATAGACTCTTTCTCTAGCCAATTCTCCAACCATCCAACAATTGCAGCCTCCATCACTGTTCTCTTCAGACTACTGTTGCGCTTGACATGTCCAAAATACCTCAGCTTTCAAGAGAGAATGCTGTTTGTTTATGAGAGTTCTCCTTGATGTTCAGGCCATGTATGGTGCTGGAAAAGCAAAATATGAATGAGAAACATATTATTCTTCTTGTAATCAATGCTGTGTAGTGTCAGTAACTCTAACTGGCTACAACCTTTTCTCTTTTGTACTGTTAACCATCAGATAGCTTAGCATGATGCTAAAGTGACCAGCATTGTCCCTTTTGGTCTTCCTCTGCCATTCAACCACTCCAACAGTCCTGTAGTCACAATATTCTCCAATTTTCTCAGGATTATTATGTGACTGAAGAAGGTAGATTGTTTCTTCTGATGCAGGTGATAGGTCCTCTTTGGTAGCTAATTAACTGTGGACTATTATGAGAAGTATGGGGTTTCCAGCGCATTTGATGCATTTAATGGAAAATCTTTATCATTAACAACAAGCAGCCATCAGAGCAGCTGGTGAAACATCGGATTGGTTCAAGGTGCAAAAGGGAGTGAGTCAGGGGTGCATTCTTTCACCATACCTATTCAATATATACGCATAAAATATAATGAGAAATGTTAAAAATGACCAGACTTGTGACAGTTATGATCTGCTCAAAATTGGGAGCAACCCTTTCCAGAACTTTGCTACGCAGATGACACAGTCCTCCTTTCAAACAGCGTAAAGGCAATATAAAATTTAATATTGTCTGTCCAAAAGCACTGTGAAGATCAAAATCTGTTCTTAAATTTAAAGAAAATGAAAATAATGTCCATAGATAAAACTGGCTATCACCCAAAATTAACAATAAATGATGAAGAAATTTAAAATGTCACAAACTTTGAATATTTAGGCCCTGTAATAAATAGCTATGGAGACTGAAAGAAATTAAAAGGAGGATGGCCATAGCAATGCAAAGATTAAACAGCCTAAAAAGTCTATTGTTAAGCACCAGCAAGGAGATTCAAAGTGGAATTTTGAGAGCATGCATCTTCCCTGTAGCAACATTCGGATGTGAGTCGTGGACTATCTCCTTGTCCTTAAGAACGAGAATAGGGGCTTTTGAGCTGAAATGCTATAGAAAGATTCTCAGAATATCTTGGACAAAGAAGAGGAGAAATACTGACATCTTGAAAGATCGGAACATCAAGGAAGATTTGCTAATAAACAGCATCCTGTCTCAGAAGCTGAAATATTTTGGTCATATCAAGCCCCAGGACGGATAAGAAAAAAATTATAGCAGAAGGCAGGGTACCAGGAAGTAAGGGGGCAGGGGCCGACCAACACGAAGATTGGCACAGAATATAAGTAACTCTTTGAGTATGAAAGTGCATGAGACGGAAGAACTGGCGAGAGACCGAGTTTCTTTCAGGCAGACCGTGATGAGAGCGACGTTCTGCAAAGGACCTGCTACATGATGATGATGGTAGTTAATTGTTTTCAAGACATATTTATAGTGTTTTTGTATCTGTTTAGGGTTCTGATCATTTGTATATAATGAGAAAAAAATAAATAAAATCGTGAAGATACAGATATACCAGAAATAGGATGCATGTCCCCCTCCCCACCCCCTCCCCCAAATTCCCTCGTCTTCTACCTAAGGGTTTGACTACCTCTGAGACTTCAAGAATAGCAATGTGAATGCAAACCAACAAGGAAAATCCCAGATACTCGTTCGACCTTCAGTAAAGTTATACACAGGGCTATCATAATTTCTACACCAGCCAGATGTAGCCTTCACTTCTTTGCATTTCAGAAATGGTTTTTGAAAAAGTGTCTACTTATTTGTTGTTGTTTGCTTGCTATGAAAATACAAGGCATTTATTTTCAATTTGCAAAACATAGTTAACAGAAAGTAAGTGAAGACAGCAAAAACATACTTTAAAATATGTGGAAAACAATTATTTCACAAAGCTGTGATATCATCAATATAATTTACCTGTTCTCCTTCTGTCTTGAAACTAAAGTTTACATTAAAATAATCCAGCTAACAAACTCATTATTTGATATTTCTTTAAGTTCGTTTTATTAATTTTTATTTCCACAGATCACAAAGTATTGTGTTTAGCAAATAGAGGCAGCCAATGGTCAGAGAGAATCATGTGTTATGAGCTTATTATGATGTACTGGATAAGTACAAAGTAGCTGACAATGATTGTAGCATTTTCTTGTAATGTGATGAAGTGTCTATGGTGGATATTAGGTTTAGGATTACTTGATTTCACCATGAATGAATCTCATTGGATGACAGAGGGTATGGCAGCTAATCTGTCATTGTTTCATAAATTATGTGTCAAAAACCATTCTAAACATGTATATGTATGCAGCTTACCTTCATCAAAATATTTTAGAAATACTGTAAAATACAAAAGGATGCTAGTTTTTAGAATTAGTAACACAGACATCAGAGTCTTGTTTAGTTCACATCAAATCAATCTTCCAAATGCTAGTGTTTCCTACAGAGCTGGATCTAATTTTGAGATACCATTGTACAGAGAGGACATTTCAAAAAGCCTGCATGTATTTTATGAAGGAAAACTTGTAGTTTCTGGCCTTTTCTTACCTTTTAGTGCTGAGTGGAATGGAGTTCAGTTCACAGGAAGGACATACTTTCCTACATTTTTCTTTAAATTAACCTGCAGAGTTTCTGAATCAATTTTTTATATGAAAGATCATTGTTTGCATTGTACAATAACTTGTTCAAATACTGAGCTTATTCAGAAACACAGCCACACATTCCCAGATCATACAGATTTTCTGGAAACTGATGATGAATATCCTGGCATTTATTATAGTCAGATCTTATCTGTGAAAAGTCAGTTGTACAGAAAACATAGAAGTGCTGATGTGTTTGCACCAGTACCTTTGAGCTGTGTCCTTCATCTTGTGGCCGACCATTTGTTCTTTAAATATATGGCTGATGGTTCAGTAGTAAATGCCATAAATGTTATGTTTAGCATTGTAAATGGTGCAGACGCCATATTCAGGTCAACAGATTTTGATGGAGATAATCGTGGTGACAACATAGGATTTCTAATAGGGAAAGTCACAGTCTTTTCAGACATTCGTGATCACAGCTACATCTTAACACATTCCTATTTGACAGCTGCTGATTACCTGAAAATCTTTTCACATTACGATTTTGATGACTACTGTCTGGGCTTAGCTTTCACCTACAGAGAGTTTGATGGACTGGGAGGTTCTGCTTTTCAAGCACATTCAGATGAATCTTTGCCAGGAGGAATTTGTCAGAAACGGTTGAAACACAATCTACACATGGTTAGTTACAATACTGTTGTAACTACTTTTCTGAGTTACGGAAAAACACTGAAGCTGAGCAGAGTTGTTTTAATTCTAGCACATGAAATGGGTCATGCTTTTGGGGCCAGACATGACAACACCACTGATTGTCTCCCAGGTGGTAAATCTGGGCAGTTTTTAATGAGCGCAAAAATAAAATCAGGAAAACTTCCAAATAATCCAAGGTTCTCAGTCTGCAGCATTAGAGCTATGCTTCCAGTCATCAAGAAAAAAGGTTCTTGTCTTGTTTCTAATAATCAAATCTCCCAGTGTGGGAATACAGTCCCAGAGATTGGGGAAGAATGTGACTGCGGCACCAGCAACATTTGTCATGCCATTGATCCATGTTGCACTCCAGCAGATGTAGAAGAGAATGAGGACACACCGTGCACTGTCCGGCGCTCCAGAGCAAAGCTGTGTTCGCCTAAGGTACATCCATGCTGCTCTGAGTCCTGCACTTATGTATCTTCAAATGTCAGAAAAGTGTGTAATGAATTATATGATTGTTCTTCTCTTTCATTTTGTGATGGCCTAAGCTCTCACTGCCCCTTCATGGGTCATTTACCAAACGGAACTTTGTGCAACCATGGATTTCAAGTGTGCAATGGTGGGAAATGCTCAGAGGGAGTGTGTAAGTATTATAACCTCACTAACTGTGTCTGTACTGAACTTGGCAGTCAGTGCAAACTTTGCTGCAAAGATCCTCAGACATCAGCATGTCGACCTGCAAGCAGTTTTGGGATACCAAACATACATGTAGAGATACATCATGAACCTGGTGAACAGTGCCATGCCAATGCCTTTTGTGACTTATCCCTAGAATGCAAAGAAAAGGACACCTCTGCAGTTTCAGAAAATGAAGATTTAGGATTTAGAATAATCAATGACTTGATCAGAAATGTAAAAAATTACTGGTTGTGTTACATATTTATAGGATACTGGATAGTGTTCTCTGCTGTGGTGCTACTTCTTCCATATCGTTTTACTGATAGCAATCACATTAAAGCCCTCAGATATGGGAAAATGATGGCTGTGTTTGCTACAGGACAATACCAGACTAAAATTTATAGACAAACTCTAACAGATATTGATGAACACTACACTATTTTGATTCTGAGACTTCGCAATGGCTATGAACAAATGGATTTCATTGAAGCTATGGGAAGACTGAAACTCTTTTTTCCAGAAGTACACATGAGATATTTATCACGTATTGCTAAGTTAAGTGCATCAGAGAGCACAGCTGTCAAAATATTACTCCTGCAAGGTTTCAAGATAAGAACATTTACAAAAGCAACAGCCACATCTCAGTAATTGAAAAACTGTTAAAATTTAAAAAAAAAGTCAGTTTACCAAAAAACACATTGCTTATTGTTTACATATGCTTGCGAGAATTTGTGTGTGTAAACTATGTAGTTCCTAATTCCAGAATACCCAGTCTGTTTCAGCTACAGGCAAGTTAGCTGTAGACTAACTAATTTCAACAGTTGCATGGAGAGTTGCCCGTTCAGGGGGTAGTGGCAACCTACTGAATATAAAATTGCCTAGAATCATTCAACACTCAACAGCTTTAAGATCATAACCCTACAAAACACCTTTAGTAAAGTGCTGGAGAAGACAGTGGCGTAAAGGCTACAAGAATTTTTGGAACGGAGAAAGCTCCCTCCAGGAGGTTTGGGAAGTTACCGGCCAGGAAAAGACACGTGATAAAATGCAGCCACTTTTGCCTTTGACACCTTTAAAGGTTTCTAGATCAGACAGGAAACGCTTGCGGGGGCACTTGATTTAGAAGATGCTTACAACATACTCAGATACAGTATCTTGATGAAAGCGCTTATGGAGAAGGGAGTTTGTCTTTGGTTGGTGAACTGAATGGCAGCCATTTTGTATACTCGCCGGTTAGCTCTCCGCCTGGGTTCATGGGCCTCTCCAGGGCTACCACAGGGATCTGCAATTTCACCTGCACCGTTCAATGTTTTTACAAGCAAGATTGTATACCTGGTAACACCTGAAATATTGACATTTGCAGATGATGTTCTCGTATATAGGAAGGGGAGAGATCGGGATCAAATAGCTCAAGAGTTACAGGCGCCAGTTGATAAGGTGATCGACTGGTGTACAGAGATGAGGGCTGTAATCAACCCAGAAAAGGCAACCGTCCTGTGGTGTTCTTTGGACAACTTGACCAGCATTTAATCATCTCAGTGATTGATTATGGAAGAGCGCATACAGAATGAAGCTATGCGGGCGATCCTGGGATGTACAAGAAACACCCCGATTGTGTGCATGCGATACATCCTTGCATTGCCCACTAGTGCAGATAGGCTAAAGGTGCTGTAGGCTAGGTCATACCTCAAAGTAGCTGCAGACAAAAAAACACCCTCTGTATATAGGAAGGGGAGAGATCGGGATCAAATAGCTCAAGAGTTACAGGCGCCAGTTGATAAGGTGATCGACTGGTGTACAGAGATGAGGGCTGTAATCAACCCAGAAAAGGCAACCGTCCTGTGGTGTTCTTTGGACAACTTGACCAGCATTTAATCATCTCAGTGATTGATTATGGAAGAGCGCATACAGAATGAAGCTATGCGGGCGATCCTGGGATGTACAAGAAACACCCCGATTGTGTGCATGCGATACATCCTTGCATTGCCCACTAGTGCAGATAGGCTAAAGGTGCTGTAGGCTAGGTCATACCTCAAAGTAGCTGCAGACAAAAAAACACCCTCTGTATGAAGATTTGGCTGCAGATAAGGGTCAGAGGCTGAAAAGGGGATAATCGTGGATGGCTCAAGCAGAAGACACAATAAGACAAGTATGCATATTGGAGAACATTGGATGAGGAGAGGAGTGGGTCAGAGTAAAAGTCTGACCTGTGTAGGGTTATGTTCACATTGGGCCGGGAGGTCAGAGAGCGGCTAACTGGTGGTACTAAGGTGGAAGTCCAACGGTTGTTTCACGAAAATTCACGCTCAGGTGATTTGATTATCTATACAGATGGTTCGGTGTTGAGAGGAAAGAGAAGTGCCTGGGGGCTCGTTGCAAAAGCCACAAGAAAATCTTTAGTGCAAGACAGCCTAGCATATGACATCACAACATCTAGCATGAGAATGGAGGTGGAGGCGGTAACTGCAGCTCTTTGGTGGCTAGAGAACAAGATGCATACATGTCCTAATTGTAACAGACCCTGAAGGCATGTCGAGAAAGGTGAAGACAGGGATGCTTGGAGCATAGTGGCAAGCCTAACTGGGAAGGTCACCGGTAGTTAGCATACTTTACATTTTTTCTCCAGGCTATGCCGGCATAGTGGGTAATGGACAGGCAGACAGATTGGCTGGATCTGCACCACTCAGTGTTGAATTGATACATGACAAGGCAGATGTGGTCAAGGCCCCTTTAGGAACAAGCAACGAAATCAGTAGAGCAGGGCTATTCAACTAAGTTTGCTCGCGGGCCAAAATGTTGATCTAAAAAAATGAAACAGTGTTGTAAATCAATATGATGTAAAATCTACTTCTGTTTTCTGTAATGATTAATTAATACTAACTTTTAATTCTTCTTCTTCTTCGTATTCACTGGTTGTAAACGCCGTCGGAAAGTTCTGGTTGTTCGTTTACTTCTGGACTCTAGTTTGTACGCATCCATTTTACGTGTATTACTCATTTGCAGACAGTTGGTTCCTTGGCTCTCAAAAAGACGTACTTCAAAGAAAGCTCCCAATTAGTCGACTCTTGTGACATTCTTTTGGCAAGGCAGTGGATCTATTTTTATTTCCCCACAATAGGCAACCCGGAACCCACACGGGGATCAATTTTAACTGAAATACACATCTTTCCAACTTGTTGTTGGGATCATAAATAAACGTTAGCATCGTCACTTCCATTGCATTGTCATAATAATAATAATAACTGTCCACAGTTGGTTTCATGTTCTACAGAAGAAACCGAAAGGTATAACGACGCAAAATGTAATTAATGAGAAATGCTGCATTTTCGTTTTTGAGCTAATTTTACCAAATTTGGCTGGTGTTGAGTTATACCATTGTGGAAGAACAAAGGAAGCAAACGAGAATGCGGTCAATATCGAGGCATCTCTCTTTTAAGCCATGTTGGCAAAATGTATGCCAAGATAATAGAAACAAGACTGAGACCAGTGATAGAACCACAGCTGGCAGAAGAACAGATGGGATTTAGGAGAAATAGAAGCTGCACAGATGCAATCTTCACACTTAAACAGTTAATAGAAAAGAACATTGAATACAATAAGACCAGGAGAAGGCATTTGACAGAGTCGACAGACAATTACTATGGAAAATAATGGCAAGATATGGAGTAAGCGAACACCTCATCGAAGTGTGCAAAAGTTTATACAGGGATTGTAGAAGTGTAGTTAGAATAAATCAGGGAACATCTCATCCTTTCACAGTGACATCTGGAGTAAGACAGGGGTGTGTCTTATCACCACTGCTGTTTATCACCTACATCGACAGTATATGCAAGAATGCCAAGCCCATGAATGAAGATCGTAGTAAGATCAACGAATTACTCTTTGCAGATGACCAGGCCTTGATAGCAGATACAGCCATGAAATTGCAACAACATCTAACATCCATGAATGAAGAATGTAAAACAGATAATATGAGAATCAACACTGAAAAGACAGAAGTAATGTCAATAGGAAAAAAAGAAGACAGATCTAAACATAGCAATAGAATACAAAGACGTTAAAAAGGCATCTGAGTTTAAAAATCTGGGAACTACATTTACCGAAGATGGGAAATTGGATAAAGAAATTGACATTAGATGCAGTAAAGCATACCAAGTATTGGGACAGCTAGCCCCCCTCTTACAGCATAAGACAATCCCAATCAGCACAAAGAGACATCTTATTCAAAGCATATTTATTCCAACTCTGTGCTACCAGTGCCAGACATGGTCACTCACAACAAACCATAAAAGAAAATTAGTAACCACAGAAATGAGATGTCTGAGAAGGGCTGTAGGAGTGACCATAAGAGATAAGATCAGGAATGAGATCATAAGAGAACAAGTCGGCACAGAACCAATTCTGGATTACATACAAAGACAGCAAGTGAAATGGTTTGCCCACTTAGAGAGAATGCCTTGTGACACCATACCATACAAAGCATACATGGAAAGAGAAGAAGGACGTAGAGCACGGGGTAGACCAAGAACAAGATGGAAGGATAACATCAGAGAAACTCTACAACAGCACTATGTGCCTATGGTCGAGGCAGCCAGAAGAGCTAGAAACAGAACCTTATATCTCCCTCGACACCCACAGCGGTAAAAGAGGAAGTGAAGAAGAAGTTGAGTAAGAGCAATTCTCATGCAATCCTGCAGCCTATCATTGCTCAGTGAGCTCCAACTATTTGTCTTGATGACATTCATGTGTTAGAAGCTTCATTCACAAGTGAAAGTTGTGCCAAATGTGGTGAATATGAATATGGTAACGTTTCTATCATTAGGAAACGGCTCTCTATTGAATCCTTTCGTACCAAAACTTGGCGGTACAATTTTTTTGAAAATTTTTATTTGCTGCGTTGGAACTTTGAATATCCACAAGTTTTAACTGCAGAGAACCTTCAAGAACAGAGGATAACAGCTTCTTGGCATTGGAAGAAAAATCACCCCCAGGAAGGATTTTAAAAGGATCTCAAACAAATAACATTACATTGTTTGGGATATTTAAGTTGTCAAAATTATTCTGAAGCTTTTTTAAATAATTTTGCCATTTGATCGGTTGAGATTGCAGTCCAGTGTTGAAGAAATAAAATAGCAAGCATACTGGTTTAAAATTAGGCAAAGTTGGTGATATAAATAAATATTTCAGTATCCAGTCAGTGTTGAATGCACGATTTTCACATTCCCACTTTGCTCGCTCGCTAGTGCTAGCCACGGCATCAAGTATTTAACTAAATTAGTAAAAGTAGATAATTTAAAACAGTTACTGACTCAGTTTGTTACTGTTCAGTCGAATCCGGCAACCTATGTACTAGTGGCCACCATTAAGGAGAGCTTCTCGGTAATCTAAGCTCTAACTGTCAGGACCATACTGGTATTTCCATACACTCCTGTCCAATAAATATCTTACCTTCATTGACTGTCCGGTGTAGCGGTGGCTTTCCTACCCGTTACTTGATTCTTGCCAGCCTTTCTTATCCCTTTGGCTTCACACAGGCGAGTTTTGCTATTTGAACGAACTTGGAGCAAACTTTCACCATGAACTAATTACATTTTCTGTTCCAATGCCTGTTCTCTTATATCTTCGCATTTACAGATCCCTGACAAACA